CCTCCTCCGAGAGCCGCCCGATGCAGAGGCCATCAAATCGGGTTTGGGAAGTCTTGCCTCGTGTTGGCGGGTGGCGGGGAGGTTTCCGGCTTGTGCGGGTTTCTCGGTTGGCTGGCAGACCCACAAACCCGATGGCGGCATTAGATTTCTGAATGGCCTCTGCCCCTTCTTTCGTGCTGTCGCACGCGGGGTATACAAGTCTGTCTCACACGCTGTGCCTGCGGATTTCGACCACGGATGCATCCCTCGCAGACGGAGAGGGAACGCCATTATGGGGGCACACGTGTTGTCAGAACGCTTGCGCAGCGCACGTGTGTGGCACATCGCTGTGTTTGATAATCTGAAGAACGCTTTCGTCTGTTGTGATCAAAAGCGCATGAATCGTGGACTGTTAGAGTCCTTGCCTGCAGGGGATGCAGACCTGCTGGGCGACAGGCGCACCACCCACCTCCTTCACTTTGATGGCGTGGATCGTCCCACAACCTTGCACCTCCAAAGCGGGGCGCTCATGGGCGACCCCAGCGCGCCAGATGAGTTTCGTGCCGATTTTGCTCGCCCCCTCCAGCACTGGCTCGGGACCAGCCAGTCTCCTGCCCTTGTTGCCCACTGTGCTGCGTTTTCGCGTGAGGTCTACGCAGGTCTGCTCAAACATGTAGACGACCTCGCCTATGTTCAGCTGCTCCAGGAGGGGGCTCTTTCGGAGGCCGTCGCCACAGCGCGCGAGGCCCAGGACAAGCTAGGCAAAGCTCTGGCCGCGTTCGGATACAAGCAAAACGCAAAAACAAAAAACGAGTTTTGGTCCCGCGCCTCTGCGGCTATAAGGCCACTCGCCAGTTTTATGTGGCGGAGGTTGGCGGGGCCAGAGTGGCCCCTCACACGAGGTACTTGGGCCCGCAGTTCCTTCCCTCGGGTTCTTTTTCTCACCAGCTAGCCTTGAGTAAGCAAGCGGCCAACAGGGGGTGGTTGTGTGTTATATATATATATATATATATATATATATTATATATATATATGTGTGTGTGTGGACTTCGGGGGCCCCTTTCAAGGCGAAGAGGCTGGTATTCATATCCGTGGTGCAAGGTGCGCTATTGTCAGGACTTACGCCGTATCTCCTCACGACCTCCCAGGAGGCCCAGCTGGACTTCGCCCCTCTGGGCATTGTCAGATGCATCGCTGCGGGGGCTATGCGTGGCCGATCTGGGGATCATCCTGTCGTGATGGACTCCCGGGTTGTCTGGAAGTGGAAGAACATAGTGCCTTCGAGGGTCGGGTTGTTGATCCAACGCAATCGATGGCACCAAACTATCGCTCGGTGGCCCGAAACACACTCCCAGGACATCGCCCTCCTCTTCGGCCGGCTCGGCTTCGAGAGTGCCCACACCCTCATCGATGGCCGCCTCACCCAGCACGCCAACCCGTTCGCCATTCGTTTCGCCACCGACATTTACCAGCTCGAGTTTCTTACTGACTATGAAGATTGGCGCTCCACCTAGGGCGAGGACAGATGTGCGCTCTTTCATGATGATGACATATTCCACCTTTTTCTGGCAGCTGACGTCTCTTCTTTGCGTAAGATCTGGCAGAGCAGTAAGACTGACTTGGACACCACTGACTTCGGAGGCTACCATCTCGCCAGCAGTGTTTCCAACACCGAAGATTTCGTGGTCCCTACGGCTTCGTCCACGTGTGCAAGTGCACGACTGCGGATGGACATGAATGTGGTGCGCGAGTCTTCACCCATGCTGCTCTCATTGCACACCAGACACACACGCGGGAAGGAACTCATGGCGATTTCTCTTTCTATGCCCATTGCGCTGTCACGAACCAGTGTCCAGCATGCCGTACTTCCTTCGCTTTCCGGAAGACAGCTCAAGCTCACCTCTGCCGTGCCTTTCGCAAGGGAGTTTGTGACATCCACAGTGCCCATGCGATTCATCCTGTGGTCATTCCCAAGCTCGAGTGTCCTATTTGTTGCACATCTTCGTATACCGATTTGGTTCAGCTGCAAGATCCTATCTGTGAGCGGCACGTCCCATGTCTACCTGAGCGGGGAGGCAGTGATGGCGACGCCCAAGTGGCATTTGCCCAAGCGCCCACCAGGAGTCTCAGAGGCCGAAGGCGCTCCACAAGCCGCCGAGGCCAAGGGGTCCCCACCCTCGAGGGCAGCGGCCGCAGGGGCAGACACCGCTTCCAGTCGAGGGGCCGCGTCAAGAGGCGCAGCCGGCAGCGGCAGCTGGGACCCCAACAGCAAGCAGCAGCGCAACAGGCATCTGGGGAAGGTGAAGGACATGGTTTTCACCAAGAAGCAGGCCCAGTTCCTCAGTGTACTAATCAAGCAGACGTTGCTGACAACGCAGATGGTGCGCGACCTGTGGTCCGCGGGCGTGGACACCTTCTCCCTGGACGCAGACCTGCCCGAGATCGAGGCGGCGCAGGAAGCAGGGGCGACATATTCATCAGAAGTCCGAGCCAGCGACAAAGGCCACCAGCTCGTTCCTCCTAAACTTCATATCTTCAACGATTCGTCAGCAAGTTGATCGAGCGTGGGCTCGCGCTGGGGCAGAGGACGCACGCGATGCTCAAATAGTGGCACGTGAAAGTATGGCGCGAACAGCACTCGCACGAGCTGTGCGACATGCTTCGTCTGTTCCGCATCACGAAGTGCTTCGACCAGAACAAGCGGAATCTGCATCTGAGGCTGAGGGACGTGCCCATGCCGAGCGCACCGCCCGAGTCCGACGAACAGCCGCTGCTTTCGCCCTCGACCGTGAGAGGCCTCCTGCAGAAAGCAATCGAGGATATCGGAGGCCGCAGAGCACTGAGCGGCGCCGCCATGCGCCATGGGGGAGATACTACAGAACGCGGTAGACGCAAAGGGCGGCACATGAGAGGAAGCTTGCCTCGAAGGTCAGACCTGGGGGACCTCCCGCCCCGTGGAGCCGTGGCCCCCTTAATTTGGGAGGTACGTCGCCGTTGTGCTGCCCACTCCTCGAGAACAGGCTTGCGATTTTTTCAGAGCAGGGGATGCTCTACTTCAATTCCTGCATCCTCCTGCCGACGAGGACCTACATATCGATAGACGGGTGCGCACTGTGAGCTCTCCAGTGATGGCTGCCCGTCGCCTCTCACCTGTTTCACGCTGCCGCGAAGTCCGCCCCACCCCCCCTCTATTGGCCATAAATTTAAAACCTCGCGTAGTTTCCCCTCGGGTGTCTTGGTCTTCTCTAGGCTATCGTGCCCTCGCAGTCCTTGACTCCTGAGTCTGGTCGTACCTTCATACGTCGGCGTGTGTGACCCTGGGGCTCAGCTTTCAGGCCCGTCAGGGCCCGCTGGGCCCCTTTTGAACCTCGTGATCTTTAAAAGTCGTCCGACGGGTGCGCTCCCGAATTCAACGCGCCTGTGTGCTTCACTTGAAATCCCACGAGTTTAACGCGCCACTTCCATATGCAAGCATGCCGCCTGCTGCCCACTCCGTTCGGCATTGCAAGGACAAGGGTACATGCGGGCCCATAGTCGTGTTTTACTAACCCCCCCTCCTCCTCCTCCTCCTCCTCCTCCTCCTCCTCCTCCTCCTCCTCGTCATCATCATCATCACCATCATCATCATTATCATCCTCCTCCTTCTCCTCCTCTTCCTCCTCCTCCGCCTCCTCCTCCTCCCTTCTCCTCCTCTTCCTCCTCCTCCTCCTCCTTCTCCTCCCCCCCTGCCCCTCGCAGTCGGACCTGAGGGGGGCGCGCAGCCCGCGCCCCGCCGCGGCAGGAGGCACGTGCGGTTGCTTCTGGGTCGCGCGCCGTCCCCCCAGGGGGCCCTGCGCCGGGCCCCATGGGGGGGGGGGGGCTCTACGTAAAGCTTCCAGGGCCCTGAGGTCCTGGCGTCCCTATTCTTTCGAGCCGGGCGTTTTCGCCTTCTGTCGGGCCCCAGGAACCCTCACATATCGATTTTGTTCGACAAATCGACGCAGAACGATGGGGTCTGGTGGTGCGGTCGTGATTTATTACGACGTCGGATCGCAGCGGATGCAGAGTCCGGTCGGGCAGATCCATCCTTCTACAGGAGGAAAATTCAAAAGCAGTGTCCAAATAGTATGGGGGCGCTGCTTGGATTATTTTTGGTTGCTTTTGGTTTTTTTCGGCTATCATTATTTTTCGACCAAAATCTGCTTGTAGGAGGACATGCCCGACCTAGATGCAGAGCTGCCCCCGGGGAAAGCGCAGGAGGTCATTGATGCTGAGGGCCCCCCTCCCGTAAGCTCTCGGCTGGGAGTGTTCGTCCCTCCCCTCCTCGCTCCTCGAGGATGATGAAGACAACAAATACGGCAGAGGCCTCAGCAGTGGCCGCCACGGGGGGGTAATTATTTCCCCAGTCTCGATTTCGGTCCCAATCCGTCAATACGTCCGCGCAGAACGTAAGTTGCTCCATTGGAAAAAGAGGGTGGGTAAAAGACCAATCGCTGTAAGTCGTCCAGACGTTTGCGGGTCCACGTTGCGAAAAAAAACACGACGTCGGAGGAATGGATCTCCTCCGCCCGTCGACTACTTGCCCTGAGCTGCTCAGATCCGCTTTCACCCGAGTGGATGTGAGCGCAGTTCAGCAGGATCGTCAGGCGCGAGGAGGAGAGAGGGAGAAGAGAAGGGCAGTGAGAAGCAGTGGTTGAGCTAGGCGAGGGGAGATGGAGAGAGGCGGGCCCAGGGAGGGCTGAGAGATCAAGGGTCAAGGGTGTTCGCGATTTGGTCTGCTCGGCTGCGTTCGGCTGCGTTCGGCTGCGTTCGGTCGGTCGCCGTTCGGTTGCGCTCGGATGCTCGGTGTCACAGTCGGCTGCGTTCGGTCTGTTCGGTTCGGTCGGTTGTTGAGTCGTTGCCCTGTCGCTGCGCCCTTCAAGGCTGCTTGCGGACTGTCGGTCGCTGTCTCGCTGTCCGATCGGTCGGTCTCCGTGCGTGCTGTCGCCATGAACGGCCTTGGTGAGATGGGGGCGGAAGATAGAGAGCGAGAGCCATGAGGGGTCGGAAAGGATGGGGTGTGACATTCTGGCTCAAGTCCCGGGCTCGCTCGTTATCTCTCGCGCTGGCCCTTCGCTGTGTCCGGCGCGCTGCGCTGCGCCCCAAAGACCAGTGACCCTTCTCCTCGTACATGCGGCGCCCGCTCTGCCATGGCCGCACCCGACGCCGCTGCCGGTGAGGCGAACCTCAATTTCTTCTACGAGTTCGCCACGCTCGACGACTCTCCGCCCGCCGGTGACTTCGTCAAGATCCGCAGGATCGCGGAGTGCGGGCCGGACCCGCACGGAGTGAACCAGGGGAGGATCGAGCTGCACATGTGGTCGCGATCGGAGGAGCCCGTGGCCGTGAAGCGGGTGAAGTCCGATTTCGTGTACATCAACCGGGGCCGGGAGCCGGACGACCGCAGGAACCACTTCCCGCCGAGGGCCAGCCCCCGGCGCCACCAGGAGGACATGCTGACCGAGATAGGCACGTACCGCTACCTGTTCCGAGAGGGCGGCGTGCCGGAGTACATCCTCCGGATGCACACGGTGTTCCAGAGGCCCTCGGGGAGAAAGGAACCCCTGACCCTAAGAACACAGGAGAGGAAAAAACACACAGACACAATTCATCGTCGATTCCCAGGAGAATATGGGAAAATATGGGAAGTGGGGGGGAAGACAAAAACTCAGAAAATATGGGAAAATATGGGGAATATTTTTATTTGTGTGTATTTGTTTGTGTGTCCTGGGGTCCCTTCAATAGTACAGTGAAATCGTGGCCTCACTGAGGTCCCCGCCGTTGCATCAGGGATATAATGCATCGGGGCGGCTTGATTCGAAGCACCTGCAGACAAGACCCCCCCTAGATACCCGATGCTTCCGGCCCTCCAAACTGAAGGTCCTCTCCCAAAAGGGTCAGGGGTCCTTTATTTGCTGCCAATCACGAGGGGCGACGACATCTGGCTGGTCCTCGAGAATGCCACCGGCGGCGACCTGTTCAACAGGTGCCTGGAGGTGCACACGGGCGAGGGCCGGGACGCGATCTCGCAGAGGGTCCGCCGCTGGATGTGGCAGCTGCTCCAGGCAGTCAGCTACATGCACGGGCGCGCAGTCGGCCACTAGCTTAGGCTCGAGCGGGGGATCGACTGCAGAATTGCTTTATCCCCGAATGGAGTTTTCGTCGAGTGATACGTCGGATTAAGTCGGGCATGTCCTTCTACAGGAGGGAAATTCAGAGATAGTAAAATAATAGTCTTGGGACGATTTGTTTTGCACGTTTTGACAGTGTGTTTTTTTGAGTCTTGTTTTGAAAAGTTCGTTCAAAATCCGCCTGCAGGGGGGGCATGCCCGACCTAAACGTAGGAGGTTTGTAGATCTACCAAAATGCGTCGCACCCCTTTCTCATGGATTCGGCGAACAAATCACTTCGGGGGTAAATCGATTCTGCAGTCGATCCCCTACTCGATAGATGTCTCACTGAGCGCTCGCGCCGTTGTGGGAATCAGTCTTCATATTTAATGTTTTTTGTTCAGCTTCTGGTCTCTTGGTTCTCCGTGTCTGGCAAGATCTGACGCGTTTCCCTCCCCCCCTGTGCTTCGTGCTGTTATGGAGGAGCTCTGTTGTGTTTCCCCGCTCCCCGCTTCCACCTCCAGGAACGTCCCCCTCTTTATCTGCATCGTTTCTTTTATCGAAGATGTTTACTGGAAACCACTGCCGCCCCTTGCCTTTCAGAAGCGCATGTGGCCGATCGTTGTGGACAGACCTCGGCCACGCTATCGGACTATGTGTTCCCCCAGCCGTTGTGGAAACCCTTCGGGGAACACGAGGGGGAGAACGAAGTAGAAGAGTATGAGAGGGAGGGAAAAGGAGGAGGAGGAGGAGGAGGAGGGAGAATCCTCTTGGGAGGCTCTTGGGATACTGTTTGAGCCTCCTGGGAGCTTCCTGGGGGCCTCTGTGGGGCTTCGTTGAGCCTCTTGGGGCCTTTGGAGGCCTCTTGGGAGGCCATTTGGCCGTCAGACGGGCCTTCCTGGCCCGTCTGAAGCCGTCGGACGCCGTCTTGGGAGCCTTTCTTGGCCGACTCGGCGCCCTCTTGGAACGCTTTAGGGTTGTCGTGCAAGCCGCCTTGGGCATCTTGGGACTATGCTGGGCCGTCGTGGGGCCCTCTTCGAGCCGCCTTGGGGGCCTCTTGGGCCGTCAGTGGGCCATGGAGGCCTCTTGGGCGCTCTCGGGGCCATCTTGGGCCGTTGACAAGGTGAAAATGAGCAGACGCCGACATCCGTCGAACCTCCTGATGATTCATAATGTCGGCCTCTTTGAGCCCTCCTGAGGGGCCTCCTGGAGGTCTCCTGGTGGCCTCTTGGATTGTCCTGGGCCATGTTGAGGCCATCTTCGGCCGTCTTGGTTGCATCTTGGGCCGTCTTGATGGCAGATTGCGGCTATCTCGGGCTCTCTTAGGGGCCATGTTGGCAGTCGTGGAGAGGCCACCCTGGGCGGCCTAGAGGGTCTTCTTGGGCCGTCCGTGGGCCCGTTTAGGGGCCGTCTTGGGGGGGCCGCTTGGGGCCGTCGTGGGCTATCTGGAGGCCAACTTAAGCCGTCTTGATTGTATCTTGGGTCGTCTTCGAGACATTTCGCGGCCCTCTTGGGCCCTCTCGGAGCCACCTTGGCCGCCACGGGAGTCCTTTGGGGCGTCGTGGGAGCCACCGGGGACCGTCTTGGGGAAGTCCTGGGGGCCTCTTGGGCCGTCATGGGGCCATCTTCGAGGCCTCTCGGGCGCTCTTGGGGCGATCTTGGAGGTCTTTTGAGCCACCTCGGGCCGTCGGAAGGCTTAAATAACCAATGCTAAAAGCCTTCAAGTCAAAAGGAACAGTGATTTGACCGCTTCGCGCTTTCCTGGAGATCCTCTTGGAGGCCTCTTGGGCCGTCTTGGAGACCTCTTGGGCCGTCTGAGGCCATCCTGGAGCCATCGTCGGCCGTCTTGGTGGCTTCGTGGGCGGACGAAGAGGCATCCTGGACCCTCGTGAGCCCTCTTGGAAGCCATCTTTGACCATCCTGGGCGAACTGACAGGCAGTATTGGCCTATCTTGACCAGCTTGGAGGCCATCTGGCAGCCAGCTTGGGCGGAAGAGCCCCTGCCTCCCATCTCCGGGCGAGCTTTCCCGATGGCCGGCCTGCTGGGCCGAGACCCCACGGGGAGTTGTCCAGGCCAAAAAAAACATCCGTTTGGCACGCCGTGCACTCTTGTGGCAAGGCGAAAGGGAGCGGCGGATCTGGTGGCCTTGGGCCCATCCTGCCACCGTGCCTGGGTTGTAAGGTCAGGGGCGTCCTTGATGCCAATGACGATCTCTCGGGCGGTCTCGCGGATGCCTCTTGGAGGCGAGTTCGGGGGTGGTTTTGGCCGTCTTGGGGGCCTCTTGTTACCTGATTTGGGCCTTTCGGGGCCGCTTGGGCGCACCTCGGGGGTTTCTGGGGAGATCTTGGGGCAATCTTTGGGCGGAGGGCTCAACATGCCAGTTCGTGTTCTCGCTCTTGGGCATCTCTTGGGGCCGTCTTGGGTGCCTCTTGGGCCCTTCAGGCGGGCTCTTGGGCCTTTTGGGGGTGATCTTGAGCGCGGCCGTCTTGGACGCTCTGAAGACCGAAAAAGCTTTCATGCGACAGCCATACAACAACAATTGTATTTGGATGATTTGGGCATCTTGGGCCCCCCATCCAGTGCATCCCAGGCGGCCCAAGAGGCGCCCAAGAGAGCTCCAGGACGGTCCACGGGGCCAATGTTGGACATGAGGCCACGCCGGGATCCCTCCCCCGAGAGCGCCAGGGAGCGCCCCACAGCGCACAGAAAGCTGGGCTGTGGGCTCGTCAAAGAACTTTTGCAGAACGCAGCACCGAGAACTCGAAGGGATCCGACACTCAAACTCGTGCCTCCGGGCAAGACGGCGGATGACGGGAATCGCGCTTAGAAGGTCTTGGCTCGAGCGATTGTGGCAAAGTTTCCCGTGTCAGCGGGGTCGCAAGCCCCCGCGCAGCATGATTGCAGATCGATCGATGGCGGGACATGTTTCGTCTCTCTTCTTTCTGCGCGCCATCGCAAGCCTGATTGTTCTACTCTGGAGGGCCGAGCGATCGGTGGCGGCACGACCACCATGGAGCCCCATGCCGTCCAACGACGACTACGACGGGGGCGAGCCAGCGCAAAGTTTGGGCACATCCTACAGTACCTACCGCGCCGCGCTCGCCAGAGGGCGGGCGGGTACTGGGGCGACCGCCTAACTTGGGATACAGTGGCGAACCGTTGCAGCTGGATCCCACACAACTTCCCTGTGCTCATGCCTCACCATTACAGTGGTTGGGCCAGGAACAGCCTGGGTTCTACAGTTTTGTGATTTCAGTCGTGGTGGTGCATCATTGCTTCTACATCATTGTCTCAACTGGGTTCATTGGCTGGTCATTCGTCGCCGTATTGTACGTGTCGCACCAGGTAGTATCAGAGCAGGTGGCTGGTGACTTTGAGTTTGACTCGGCTGGCCGCTACGACGCTCGCCCTGTTACACTTTCCGTGCGCTCAGTTGTCTCTTGTTCTAGTGTATTCGCATTGAGGCGCATGACGTTGCCACATTTGCTCTGCTGGGAAGGGCGGTCTGCCCTCCATGCGTGTCGCTTGCGCCTGCCTTCTGCGCTCTCCCTCTCTGCTCGTTCCCCACCGCGGCTGCAACGGCCGGCCGCCTGTCTCGTGGCCAGAGGGCCATGGCCAGTCGCGCGTGCCTGCCACCAGAGGGCGGTAGCCACGCGTGGTGTATCCTAGATACACATGCGCGCGGGTCACCCCAGCGCGGGTAGGCCTGGTCGAGGGCTCGCGAGACATCTGAATTAGGTTTACGTTTTCGAAAAGCGCGCTTAGACTCGAAGAGTCGCGCGATGGACGTGGGTTGCCGGCCTGGATGGGGAACTGTTCATCAAGGGGGGGGGCCCTGTGGTGGCGGGATCGCTCAGTGATTCGCGACGTGGCCGATGATGGGCAACGCGCTCAGACTCGAAAAATCGCGCGATGGACGTCGCACGCTGGCCCGGAGGGGCAATATCTACCAAATGGAGGGGTCCATGGGAGCAGTGGCGGCGGGGTGGCTCCGTGGACGGGGCGTGGCGGATGGCGGGAAGCGCGTCAGACTCGAAAAGTCGCGCGATTGATCTTGCATTCTGGTCCAGAGGGGAAATATCTATCAAGTGGATGGGGTCCATTGGAGGAGTGGTGGCGGGGTCGCTCCGTGGACGGGGCTGGGCCAGAGGGGGGGGCGTCTATCAAGTGGAGGGGTGCCCGGGGGGGGGAGTGGCGGCGGGGTCGCTCCTCCAGACTTGCGCGGCGGATTCGAAAAGTAAGCGTTTCGCCAGAGTCACACAAGCGATCTGTTGGAGGCCATCGTTTGAAACGCATCATGCTATAACTTCGAGCTTCGCCTGAGACGTTGTCGGAGAATGGAAGGTTGAACTCGCTGGCGAAACCTTCGGGTATTCGATAACAGCGATCGCGTGGGAGACATCCTCAAGTAATGATGTGTTTCAGTAGCCGTTGTACGACATTTGTTTTCGGGGCGCTCTTGGGGGACTTCCAAGATGGCCCAATAAGCAACATCATTGGAAAACCACTGGTTATACAATGTTTGTGTTCTAAAAGTAAACGTTTCGCTAGTTATCTTCTCAACCAATGCCTTCGGGCGCGTCTTCGAACACAACGGACCAGGATGAGCATGCCGATGGTGACATGCATGCTGGTAGCTATGACGATACTAAGTAAGTATGATGATGATGTTGATGCCGCTGATGATGCTGAAGCTGATGCTTGCGCTGATGCTGTTGGTGTTGCTTGTGGTGTTCATGCTAATGTTTACGGTAGTGATGTTCTTGCTGCATTGCTTCTGACACATCTGCCGCGGACAAGCTTCGATGTGACCACCTGTACAAGCAATGGCGCGGTAGCGATCCCCCATTAGGACGCCGGTGCCGTCGCGGAGGAGACGAGCACCGCAGTGGTCCGGCCCAGAGTGACGTCAATCCGTTGCATCTGTGGTGGTGCTTTTGCCGACGTGCTGCTGCTGATGGTGGTGGTGGTGACGATGGCGATGATAAGGTGATGGTGGTGTCGCTGATGGTGCTGGTGACGATGATAATGGTAAAAATGATGACGAACGTGAGGGAGAGATGGAGGAAACGGGAGGAGTGCAGAATCGTGACGAGGAAAACCAAGGGCTTGTGAGCGTTCTGGGAGCGCGTGTCCATCCATATCCCTTGTGGTCGTTCCGAGAATTTGCCCACATTACAGTTGATCGTGATGATGCTGCGCGAGCTTGCACAATTTGTCGTTTTCACGCGTTCCCCGCGCCTGTCAGGAAAGGCTTCCTTGTTCAAGCATTACGCCTGATCCTCACAAACATGATGTGTTCGCAACCCGCTGTTGCACAGCCGTGCGTTTCACCCGAAACAACCTTCAGAGTTGGGTAAGTTGACCGTTTGCTTGATCATCAAAACGGGGGTTTTGCCAGAGACATCCTCGACATAATGAGATGTCAACAGAGCTGCGCCATTGCCTTCCGTAACCATTTGGGCTCAAGCTGTGTCGGCACAGGCTCAACTTCGAGCACCTTCAGGATGCGCTGCTAAACAATACCGCTGACATCTTAAGTCATGGTGGTCGTGCGAAGGGTGCGCTTCTTCTGCTCTGTGCATCCCATGATTCGTGGTCAGCATGTGCACACTGCCCGCCGCCTGGCAAAGGGCATGTACTGTCTGCACATCCCGGAGGCCGCATGACAATCCGGGAGCTGGCATCTTCGCGGTCTTACGCGCGCATCCGCCTCTTCTTCAGAAGTTTGTCGGGACGATCGTCGCATCGGGAACATGCGGGTCGTCACGTTGTTTAAGGTTTCCTTGGTCACACGTCGTATCCCAGTACTAACAGTGCGACATGTGCGCGCATACCCCCCGACGAATCTCACGCCACAGAACTGGCCAGAACAACCACATCTAACAGGGTGGCTGACACATTGTGCTTCCCACATGAGCGATGCAACTTGAAAAGATGATGACACGCTTCAGTGCTGTAACCCTGTCAATCTTCAAGTCCGACGAATGTCTTGCGACAAGAGCACATCGTTCTTTCCTGGGCAAGACGACCGCATTTTGTCAGACCTCCCTGGCTTTCAAAGGGGACCTTGCAGTTGCATTCAACAGCGTAGCGAAGCTAGCCTATGGTGGGATAGTATAAGTTGTCCACGAATTCATGTGCTTCTTCATGTTCAGGAGCTAGGGGATGTTCCGTGGTATTGCGACTGCACGGATGAGACGTTCTGGAATTTGTTTAACCAGTTCAAAATTGACCACAGATTGAACCACCCAAGTTCAGAGTATATACCAGGGCCAGGTTTATTTCTCATGGGCAAGTTTACACCGCATGACTTGGAGATATTCATCTTAGGGGTGAACCGGTTCTAGGCAGAACTGCAGCAGGTTGAGCAGACGTTTGGCAAGAACATATTGTGTGGCAGTCGTGAGAGGGAGACGGCCACGTTGTTTTCCCTAGCGTCACGGATCGTGCGGAGCGGTTCGCAGACGAGCCTCCCTTGGGGTGGCACCCGACACAACGCTACCTTGGGCGTCCGACTGGCCAGACGTGGGCCGACGTTCGATTGGTGCCCAGGCCCAGCTCGGCCAATGCTGCCTCTGCTTCACATGTGCATGCCTCTCCTCCCCTTGCTTCCCATCCTCCGCCGGCGGCTATCTTTTCCCGCCCGTGAAGGTCCGAACGGCCCCCGTCGCGCTTGCGCGAGACCTGCGTCATCGACCCAAGTGCAGACAAGACGTGTCGGCGTAGCCCAGCTTCGAACTCTCAGCACAAGGAGTCGTTTGCCTGAGTATAGGTTTGCTTGGCGTTGAACTGTGCGCTGTGCCCAGCTGTACCAATACACACGCATATACATTGATACCCACCGAGCGCTGTTGAATTGTACTCTAGCGGCTTGTCTCACGATCGTGCCAATGCATTTCTGAGGCACACAGGCCTCATCCTCCTCGCAGCCTGGGAATGCCTCATTGTTCAGATGGCCACGCGCCTCCTGTCTGGCACTCTGCAGTCCGTCCCCATTCGTGCCCCCCCGCGTGAGGAGGAGGAGGAGGAGGAGGAGGAGGAGGAGGAGGAGGAGGAGGAGGAGTTTCCCTGTCTCTTCTCGTCTGTCCTTCGCCTTCCCCTGCCCCCCTTCCGTGCCATCCGTCCGAGGAGGAGGAGGAGGAGGAGGAGGAGGAGGAGGAGGAGGAGGAGGAGGAGGGAGGAGGGAGGAGGAGGAGGAGGAGGAGGAGGAGGAGGAGGAGGGCTTCTCCTCCGCTCGCTCGGACCTCGGCGTCCGGCGTGGGCCCGCCCTCGCCCCGGAGGGCGGGGTCCTCCCCCCCCGGGGGGGAGGCGCCGAGCCCCTGCCGTGGCGGCGGCGGCGCGGAGCGCGCGCCGCCGGGGGCAGTGCCGAGGCGGACGCCGTGGCCTCCAGCGAAGGATTGCAAAAAAAAACATACAAAAAAACAAAAAATAAGCCGAGGACTGCAGTGAAGAAACAGGTCTTCTTCTTCTTTGCGAAGGATAGCAAACAAAAAAAAAAAACAAAAAAAAACAAGATTGCAAAAAAACGAAGGATTGCAAAAAAGACGGATTGCAAAAAAGCGAAGGATTGCAAAAAGGATTGCAAAAAAAGCGAAGGATTGCAAAAAAACCCGGATTGCAGAAAATAACGAAGGATTGCAAAAACACCCGGATTGCAGAAAGGATTGCAAAAAACCCGTTTTTTTTGCAATCCGGGTTTTTTGCAATCCTTCGTTCAAGTGGATCCCATCCATCTGTCCCCCGCACCGGGCCAATGTCTGAGCGGGGCTGGACCCGAACGCCGTCTTGCTGGACTTCGGCGGTGTGTTATGCTGCTCGTTTGGGGAGGGGGGGGGGTGCCGGAAGGCAGGTGGAGCAAAACGGAGAGCATGGCGAACACAGCACGAAACACGACGTTTAGGTCCAGCCCTGATTTTGAGTGGAAGATAGTGCAGGAGGAGTTGGCTAGACAATTTGGACGACGGGCGTCTTTATCACCCCCTGCCAGCGCCACTGTGTGTTGATACAGTTGTTGGTCATGTGGCCGGCAGTTGAGGGGACAACGCAGAGCTGCGCTATCGCCTCTCATGTTAGTATAGACGCTCTTGCTGGAGACATCCTCAGGGACTGAACATCAGCACGGCAGACCATCGCAGTTGTATTATGTTTCACGCCGTTTCTAAAAGTGCCCAGTTCGCTATGGATATCCCCGTAAAACTGATGTGTTCCCAACGTCGTCTTGGTATTGCTTCTGAAGTGCAACGTGGATCGCATTCCAGGAACGCAGGGCGAGTTGGACGTTTCTGCTGAATATGTAACAGACCTAGCTCGAAAAGATGGAATGTTGAAAGAGCTGCTCTAAGACCCCTTCTGTTAAACATGAAGCGGTTGCTCGAGACATCCCCATGACGCAGAGAATGTAAACTCGCTGGTGAAACCTTCGGATCTTCGAAAAGGGCGCTCTCGCCTTGAGTCACGACATCTTTGGGGCACACTCTTTGACCCTTGGGGGACCCCCAAGATGGCCCAATAAACGAAATCATTACAAACTATTGGTGTGGCAATGCGTTTGTTCTAACGTATGCGTTTCGCTCGAGATATCTCCTCAACAATACCTTCGGTTGGGTCGTAGATCACATCAAATTATGGCGCGTTGATGATGCCGACCCTGAAGATTGCGCTGGTGCTGCTGGCGACGACTGATGTTGATGATGATGGTGGTTCTGGTGATGATGCTCTTGCTGGTGACGGTGCTGATGATGGTGATGATGATGACGGTAACACTGCGATGGTGATGTCGGTGATGTGATAGTGACGGTGATGGTGATAGTGACGATGCGCAGCTCTTCGCTATCACGCGCTTCTTGTTCACGTCAGGAAAGGGTTGTGGTCCGAGCCCCATTTGGAGCTGCCCCCGAGCGCAGCAGTTTCGCTCAAGAGGGCTCCCAATTCTGAATGGGGCTCGGGGTGCCCTGACGGGCGCGGTGGCTGAGGTCCTTGTCTTCTCGTTGTTCGCCCATCTCAAGATGCACTTTGGACATCTGCCAGCCTGTTTTTTCAACCCGCGGCCCTGCAGGTCTCGACCGCTGCTTTGTTGGTAATGGTTCGTCCCAGCTCTGTTTTTGATGGTCCTGGGTCCCTCAGCGGACCCAAGAGCTTGAAATCGAGGAGAAAATGCCGGTTGGAAAAATTTCATCGTCGGAGGTTAGGGACTGAGCACGAGGGAAACATACCCTGGGCGGCTTGAAGTACGACCAAGGTCACCGGGATATCTCTCTGGAGAACGTGCTCCTCAACGGCGACGATGTGCGCCTGATGGACTTCGGGCAGGCCGTGCGATCCCACTCGGAGGCCGGGCGGGAGCTGCGGTATTTCCGGTATTTTGGCCAGGCGGGCAAGGACCAGGCGAAGAGAACTGTACACATACACACCGGTCCTGGCCATCCTCAGCTCAGGATCGGTGCATTGGCCTCCCCGGCCGAGCCAGGAGGGCGCAGTCACGGATGCTGGGCCCAGGATGGAGCAGCCGAGGGTCGGAGCATACTCCAGATTTCGTCATAAGAGGGAGGGGGTCTGGACCCTCCAAGACAAGCCATTTCAGACCCCCCCCCCGTGGGAGAACCCTCCGAAACACCGCCCCCAGACCCCCCCCAGGCCCTCCAGGATCGCCTGGAGGAGACCCCCCCCCGAAATGCCCTTTATTACGAAATCTGGAGTACGCGCTCGTCTCGTTCCTGGGAAGGACTACTACCGGCCCTGCAACATGTACGTGCCAGCGGCTCCCCTCGAGTGGGTGGCGCCCACCGGCAGCAGCGGCGGCCAGGTCGTCTTCTACCCTGGCAACGGGTATCCCCGGCGGCCTGCGGCGGGTCCCGCCGCCTTTTTGGGGCTGGCCCAGCCCGTCCTCAGGAGGGGAAAAATACATGCAGACCCAATTGATCGTCGATTCCCACAAGAAATATAGGAAAATATGGGAAGTGGGGGGGGGGAAGACAAGAAACCCGAGAATATGGGGAAATGTGGGGAATCCTGTCGTTTGTGTGTGTATATATATATATATATATATATATATATGCGTGCGTGCGTGCGTGCGTGCGTGCGTGCGTGCGTGCGTGCGTGCGTGCGTGCGTGCGTGCGTGCGTGTGTGTGTGTGTGTGCGTGTGTGTGTGTGTGTGTGTGTGTGTGTGTGTGTGTGTGTGTGTCTGTGTCTGTGTGTGTGTGTGTCTGTGTCTGTGTCTGTGTGTGTGTGTGTGCGTGCGTGTGTGTGTGTGTGGTGTGTGTGTGTGTCCGAGGGCCCCTTCATCTTGGGCTGGCCCAGCCCTCCGGGAGGCGACCGTTTCGGGAGCGCACCGGAAGCCGTGGCGTGTGGCACCTCGTCGCCCCGAGGCACGCGGCGCGGCACGCCCTTCCCAGACCCCCTCGGGCAATGGACAGGTCATGACGTTACCAGCCTGGAACATATCCCTATCCCCATGCTGGGCACCTCCTAATCGAGGGCGAATCCCTACGAGTGTCATCGCCTTTGGCGTGTCAATCTTAGGGATAGGGATACGTTCGAGGCTGGTAATGACGGGAGGTTTTTTTGCTATCTTCGGCCTCTGGGGGCCCTTACTGGCCCTCGGGACCGTCAAGGAACGACTCGGGATGAAAAACTGGTCCCGGGGAATGGGTCGAGATTTCCAGGGGTCGACGTAATGAAATAATCACGGCGTCGGGGGTCTGGGTTCCGTGTCGAGTCTGTACATCTCTTCTCGTCCTCGGCATCGACTCTTTACAGTCTTGATGTTCCCTCGTCTGCGCGTTCTTTTTGCACCATCTTCTCTCTCAGTTCCGGCTCCCTTCTCCTGCCGCATCTTCTGTGTGGCACAGGTTGGGGCAGCGTCCAAGTGGCCGTCACATGTGACACCTCGGCGGTCTTCAGGCTGTTTCCAACTACTGCGAAGCCGCGGTGGGGCAAAGTAGGAGGAGGGAAATGCTGATAATGGTGATGACGATGAGGAGAGAAGGAGAAGGACTGTTGCGGACGAGGGGGTGTGAAACATGATGATGGTGGTGATGCTGGTGGCAATGTTGATGGTAATGATAAGGGTGATGGTGATGGTGATGGTGATGGTGATGGTGATGATGATTGTGGTGGTGGTGGTGGTGGTGGTGGCGGTAGTGGTGATGATGGGGATGATGAGGAGAAGAAGGGGCGAAGGATGAGGAGGCTAAGGAGGGGGAGGAGGACGGGCAGCAAGAGGAAAGTCGTCACCTCTGACTCCTCATGGGGGCTTATTTGGGCCGTCTTGCCGTCTGGCATTGTTTCGGCCAGCTTCAGCCCTCTCGGACCGTGCTGGGGCGCTCCTGGGCCGCACTGGGGCTCCCTTTGGCCGCCTTCAGCCTTGGGAGCCTCTTGAGCCTGTCGTGGGGGGCTCTCTCCTGGACGCCTCGGGCCATCTTTGGGGTACCTCTGAAGGCCCTCGTGGGCCCCCGAGCTCCGTGGGGCCGTCCTGGACCGTCCGAGGGCCCCCTCAGGAATTTCAACGGTGGGCCATCAATGTTGGGCGCGTCGAGACCGAGCGCACGTGGACGGATCTTCGCCCAAAGAGTATGGAAAGCGAGCAGCATCGAGCGACAGCAGGAAGCCCAATGGATTCGATGTCTGGTCTCTCGTGGGCCTCCCGCCGGGCGTCTTCGGGGTGCCTTGGGGCCTGTTCGAGGCCTCTGGGGGTTGCTTCGGAGCGTCTTGGGAGCTGGTGGGTGCCTTTGGGGGCAATGCTGGGCCACTTTGGCGGCCTCGGGTGGCATTCCCGGGCCACTCCGGAAGGCTCGGACAGCCCTGGAGACCGCCGGGCAAACGCCGGGCCTCCCAGGAAGCCTCGGGAAGGGATGGGGGGGATGCGTGCGGCGATGTGCGTCGAGAGCTGATAATCCTCGGGACGCGTGGAGCGTTCCAAGAAGGGCCTTGCCTTCGAGGAGCGAGGGAGTTGCCATCCCTGCCTCGGCGGAGGGCCGGCGTAGGGCGGCGGAAGTAGACCGAGGCCGCCTTCGTCGGCGGAAGGCTGGCGGAAGGCGGCGGAAGTAAAAGGTGCGCCCGCAAGAGGTGACAACATTTTTCGGAGGTTGATACACCTTAGGCGATGCTTAAGAAAACTTAAGTTTTCGGCCAGAGTCTCGATTATTCTTAACGTTTCAATGTAAATCTTAAAATTTTGATAGAAATTTTGGGTTCTTATTCAAGTTCTGAGACCATGAATTTCTTAACCCATGATTTCTTAACCATTTCGCGTGGTGTAGGCCTCCTACCTTGACACGTCGATTCAGGAATTGACCGTGTTCGGTTCGCGAGAGGGCGTCGCGGCCGTCATGTTTGCGGGTCCAGGTCCGTCGGTTTCTGCCCCAGGCCGTTTTCACTAGGGGGAGGTTTACTGAAGGGAGGTTTGTCCACCGCCGAATTTTGGGGATCGGGGTTTCCGGAACCGACAACGTATTAGCCCAGCGCGCATTTTAACCGTTCGGCCGCTCCGACAGCACGCAGCCCGTGCCGGCCCGCCTTGCGCCGCATGTGTCGTGTTGGAAGGGCTGCGGTGAGCAGACACGCGTGGGCGCGAAGACTCTCTTCTCTCTGGGGATCATCGAGGCAGGGGGGGTTGGGAGTTCATGGACACGTTGCCAGACAGCACTTGGCATTTTAACACGCCCCCATAGCACAGGCACAATGGCTCCTGTCCCTTGTGCTTGTCTTCCTCCTCGTTATCCTCCTGCTTCCCTCGCTGCCCTTCCCCGTTCTCCACTCTGTCACCCTCGTCATTCGCCGCCCTGTCGTCGTCATCATCCCTCTCTGCTTGCCCCCCGTGCGAGCCAAATGGACAACCTCGGCGCTTCCCGCTCCTGTTTGATCAGGTGCTCGCGCGCCCAAGCCGTGCAGGCACGGTGGCGGATTGTGAAGGCCTGACGGCCGGTGCCGCCGACCCTGAAAGACATCGACGACGACCAGGAGGGGGAGGAGGAGGAGAAGGAGGAGGAGGAGGAGGATGAAGAGGAGGAGGTGGAGATAAGGAGGAGGACGAGGAGGAGGAGGAGGAGGAGAAAAGGGACTTCCCCCTGGGACCCCCCCTGGGGAGCCCAAGTCGTGCAGGCACGGTGGCGGATTTCTTCTGCGAGGTGGCTCTGCCGCCGGACGCGGTGCCGGGCGAGCGCTGCACCGTGGAGCCGGCGGGATACCACGTGCGGCCCGCGGACGTCTTCGCGTGCGCGGTCTGCGCGTTCATCCTGAGCACGAGCTTGCCGCCCTGGAAGGCTCCAGGGGGCAGAGTTAAGTCGGGTCTGTCCCTCTGCAGGGGGGATGTTTTACAACAGTTTTAAAGTCGTATGGGGGCGATTTTGTTGACCATTTCTGCTTTTGTCTGTATTTGTTTGAATATTTGGTATTCTCCGTCCGAAATTCCACTGTAGGGGGACATGCCCGACGTAAAGGCAGAGCGGGGCCAGATGAGAGGAGCGGTGGTTGGACTTCGGGGGCCCCCTCGTCGCCACGGGTCGGACGCAGCTCGGGAAATGTCTGGTGCGCCTGCATGGGCCTCAGGAGGGTTCCGGCGGCCGATTCTGTGAGCTTCCGTCGTGTCTCGCCTCGCCCTGCTCGGAAGGGAGGCACTGCGACACACGCGTGCGTGCAGTTCCGGAGGCCCGCGCGGAGTTCCCGCGCTGGCGCATGGACGCCCCCGCCCTGGTGGCGCCCGGGGCCGGCCCCGCGCGCCAGGGGGGGGGGGTCCTGAAACGACGCGAAGATCGGGACAAAGTCGGATCGGGATAACTCGAAATCTCTGAGAATCGGCGGGTTTGGAGGATGTCTTGGGCGCCGCGGCCGCTCCAGAGCGTTCCGGAACGCTCTGAGAGCGCTCCGGGACGCTCTGGAGCGATCTATACCCCGATCCTGGCCCTGTTTTAGGTCCAGGGCCGATCCCACGTCGAGCGCGGACCTCCGAGAGCTTCTGCTCACGCAGCTCGCCCCCCTCCTGCAGCGCACGTACAGTTGAGGCTGCGGGCGCCGGGCAGGCAGCCGCCCCCCAGCAGGTAGGCCCGACGGGCCTCGACGGGCCCCCCCGAGCAGCCCGGAGCGGCCTCGACACCCCCGCGCGCCGCATCGGTTTGCTCGGGGGGCCTGTTGACTTGGCATCGCTCGGACGTGTGCATCTTTTCTCGGCGAGAACCATCGAGGACCATCCTGGACCATCGAGCAGCAAACACACGCACGAAACCGACAAATGCACGGGACATGGACGTCCGAGCGACGGCAAGTGGAGGCCAGCCGGGACTTCCGGGGGGGGGGGGCGGGGCTGTCTGCGCTCCGCCCGGAGCCTGGCCAAGCTCCGGCGTCATGTGCTTCGCGACGTCGAGCCCCAGAGGTCTCGACCGATTCCCCAGGGCCAGTTTTGCATCCCGGGTCGCTTCTCGAAGGCCCCGGTGCTGGGCGAGGGCCCCTTGAGGCCGAACGTAGTAAGGAACCGCCCGTCACGATCCGGTTCACGACGGGAGGGGGCATCTGGGCGAGCTGGAGCAGTTGTGGTGCCGACGTGCCCGTTCCCCGCGAGGTGGCGCACCCGAGCGACGGAACCTTCAAGTGGGTCTGCAGGAGCGGCATCGTGGCGCTGCTGCGGGCCTGGGGCCACGAGCTGGCGCCGGAGGTGGAGGACTTCATGGCGAGGGCCATGAACATGGACGCCTCCCAGCGGCCAACCTCGGACGCCCTCCTCGAGCACGCGTGGTTCGAGCCCATCAGGCGCGAGGGCGTAGAGGGCACCTAGCTGGGCCGCCCGGGAGGGCAATGGCGCGGAAGCCGCCGCGCGGAGGCCGGGGTGCGCCGAGGCGGTCTTCTGCGCAGGCAGGGGTGCCCGGCAGCGTGCCGCACGCCGCTCGCTCTCTCCGGCCGCCCCTCCCCCCCCCCCTTCGGGGCGGTGGCCGCCGGTGTTCCCTCTCTCGCTCTCCTTCCCCGGCGGGGCAGGCGTCGACCAGGCAGGAGCCCTGGCTCGGCAGGTAGCGGCACGCAGGATGCCAGGGCAGGCTAGCCGTCCCATGTTGCCAAAAGGCCTCGGTCCAGGCGCACAGCCTGCGGTGGCTCACCTGCCTCCTGCTCACGGTCCTCCTCACCCCGCCTCCTCCT